TCCTCATAGCAGCCTGGAGATTAACAGCTGTCTTGTGGCCATGAGGATGAAAACTATAACCTAACAATATAGAAAAGAGAAACAATAGGGGTCTAGATCCACGATGATTTCCTTGTGCAGATTCCCTTTCCTGGTCTGCCTACCTTGACTTTCTTTTCCTTGAAACTAATAAACCCCTTACTTCTTCAAGCTATTGCTTAGTCACTTTTTTTGTTTGGAACACGGCACATTCCTCACTAATACACTGAGGTGAAGTGAGGTCATTCGAACCCAGGTCTGCTGACTTCAAGCCCTAGACTCAGATGGTCAAACAACACACCATCTGAATAATAGCAAAAACTATCTGAAGGGAAGTTTTAATGCAAATATGGCCAGGTGTCCTGCAGAGAGGAAAAGACCTGGCCATGCTAGGGAGAGTCAAGAAATTGTTCTACTCCTCCACTTCATTGTCAAGCTTCTACCTTCTCACCTCCAGAAGCTATACTTTGGCTTCTACCTCTACCATCTCACCAAAACTAAGCTTGGCAAACTATGGCCCACAGCCTGTTTTTATAAGTAGCTTTATTGGAACACAGTCATGTCAATTCACACTTCCATAAATCAATGGATGCTGTTTGCATTGCGTTGGCAGAACGGAATAGCGGTGACAGAAACCAACTGTTCCATGTGATGTCCCTGACATTTAGCTTAGAGTCTGGAACACAGAGGCACTTAAATATTCCTTGCTCTCCCTCACCCTACTGATTTGTCAAGTCTTTTCTGACACTGTCCACTTCTGTCTCTACTACGATTCACCTAGCTGAGTCAACTGTCGTGTCTTGGCTCTTTCAACAGGTATCTAACAGGTCTTCCCACTCTGGATTTTTCTCCACAGTACAGCCAGACTGATTTCTCTAAGATGGAAATCGGATTATGCCACTCTCCTGTCTAAAGCCCTGAAATGTCTTCCCATGCTCTCTGAACAAAGTCTAAAACTCTTAGAAAGCTTATAAAATCCCTTTGTAATTTAGAGTTTATCTCTCAAAACCACCTGTTAGAGTCGTAAGGATGCCCTTTCAGATCTGTAACTACAAGTTCTCTCTCAACCCTGGGTCTTTGCCAATTGTACTCCCTATACCTGCCTGAGACACTACTCCCCACACCTCCACTTTCACCCAGGTGTCTCCTACACAGTCTATGGGAAACACCATAGACAACTCTATCCCCTGGAACCCTCATCATACTTCCCAAGTCTCATTTAGAGGTTCCTTCAATAGTAACTTATACTCCATTCTCCTCCTAGCTAGCCCCAACCCCTTAACACACACACCATTTGTAGTATTCATCACACAGAAAGCTATACAAGAGAAGGGACTATCTGGCTTTTTTCCCATTGTACTTCCAGTATTCATCACTGCTTGGTGCATAAGAGGAGCTCAATATTTACTGAATGAATTCAAATGATTCAACAGAAAAGCAGTTTGTCCTAATTCCAAATGAAAACTTAGAAAACTTGCATCACATCTCCTCATTAAGTCTCATCTTTTTTATAGTTTTCCAATCCTATAACCCATAATTTACCAGCAGGGACCCCACACTCATTTCAATCAGTATTCCCAATTCTACCACCCGATATTGCACTCACCTCTCAAATCCCCAAATTATTAGTTAATTTAGCAGTCTAGTTTCTACCCTTCGGGTTCTGGACTGCTGATCTTAGGGGCTCTAAAAAGTCACAGAACCTTTCTAATTGCTCCATGGAAATGTGGCTTCTAACCCCACTGTGTCCTCACCATGACTTCCGTGGTACTTCTCTTTATTTCTAGCCTGTTCTCTCGTACCATGTCTAAACCCTACCACTTAAGTCAAAACTCCCAGATACACTAGGCTTGCTCACCCTCCACAGATGATCCTGCTCCTCTGTCACCAACATAATAGGGAATCAGATATGAATCCTCTTCGTTTGCTCTAGACTTTCCTTCTCCTCAAGCTGAAGCCTTTATCTGTGCTCTTGACCTTACTTCTCTGGCTTGCTCTTGGGCTCTGCCACATTAGTTTTGTTATTGCCACATCTTACATTGCAGCCATCCTTAAGATCCCATCATGCCTTTTCAGCTGGAATCACGTTCACTCCACTGCTACTTGATTATGGCACACTAGGATGGTAATAACTCTTCTGTATTTAATGTGCTTTATCATCAAGGGGGCTTGAAGTCTCACAAATCAAGAAGTGATCACGTTGCCATCCTTTTGCCCACTCCAGCCAGATCACAAAGGAAAATAACTATGTGCTGTGAATGGGACTGAGACCCACCAACCATCGCATATTAGGAATAACCCCCAGTGAATGTATCTTGTCTTGGTAATTTGATTAAAATCATGGTTAAAATCATGTTGTGCTTTGTTTTTGTTGTTCAACAGGACCATAAAAATAAGCCAACAACAGGAACTTGAGAGTCAGCAATTACAATCCTGGAGATGCTACAGACTCTTGGTTCATATATTCTCTCACACTATTGTCAGTGTTTTCAATCAGCATCTTTTCTAAGTCATAGAAATCAATAAATGCCAGAGCACCTGGGTGGCTCAGTGGGTTAAGGCCTCTGCCTTCTGCTCAGATCATGATCTCAGGGTCCTGGGATCGAGCCCCGCATCAGGCTCTCTGCTCAGTAGAGAGCCTGCTTCCCCCACTCTCTCTGCCTGCCTCTCTGCCTACTTGTGATTTCTGTCTGTCAAATAAATAAATAAAATATTTAAAAAAAAAGAAATCAATAAGTGCCAAAATATGTAAAATAGGGGAAAAAAGGTTTGTGAACACAAATGGATGCTTAGCTGATAACTGCCTGGTGAGCTTCAGGATGGAGGGGTAGGAGCGAACACTGTCAATTCCAACAAAATCACAGTCCATTCAAAATAAACATTATCATACAGCCCTTTAGATTTCTGAAGTCTAGCTGGAATTTTTAGAAAGCAGCAAGGACCAAAGTAGCGTTCCTCAGATCTGCATACCCATTCCCTTCTCCCCAGCTTCCAAAAACATACACTTAGCAAAAAGCTTTGCATTCTTTTAAGACAAGGATAGAAGAAACAGGAACTACCTCTGCAAATAAAAGGTGTAAGGAAAAGCAAACCTTTATACTTAACTCCACCTTAGAGCAACTATCAGTTATGTTATGCTTTGATCTTTTCTGCTATGCTCACTTACATTTACTATTGTCAATACCTTAAAAAAAAGAAAAACATTTAAGAATTAAACATTTTAAGGACCTTTCACAAACCAAATGACAGTAGGTTTTTATTAACATATCTTACAATGTTGATTATTCCTAGTTTTGTAATCTCTGCTTAATTATAAAGATTGATTTAGCCTCTACAGTAATGTACTGTATTTAAATGTTCATTCATACAAGATACCACACCAGTACATTTTTTTTAATAATATACACACATCACTCTAGCTTGGACCTGTTATTTTTAAAAGTGGGCTTATAAATGGGACTTATAAAAGTTATGGGGGAAAAAATTAAAGTTCTAGTTTAGCAGCATGCATGTATGTAATTCAAGTACAATTTTCAACCAAGTGCTTTTTAAAAATTTACTGGTGACTAATTCACCAATATCAAAATAAACACTATCAAATACCCAAATTTTAATGTTAAGGCTAATATTTTCACTTCACATCCATATGCACAATCATAAAACATTCCATTTTAAATATGTAGTAATCAAAGTCTGAATACATTATACCATGTATATATAGCATCAGAGTTTCAAACTGTAGAATTATTCAAGTTCATGAATCCTGTAACAGTATTTACTAGAGATTTAAATTAGCATTTGCTCTTCAACCACACTTACAAATGGTCTGGTATTCAGAATGACCAATGCAAAAAATATGACAGGCTGAACTTATGATACAGTATTTAAAAAAGTAGCAATGTGTTGGAAAGGACAACTATTTAGTTAAACAGAATCATTCTCATCTTTCAGAAAGTTATCTTAATATTTTGGAAATGTATATAAAAATAGCAAGCTATTTCCATGTATTTTTATTGTGGAGCTATAGGTAATTTTTTGACTTTTGAACACATCTGAATATGTACTGTTCTGCTGTATTTTAATGCAAGGCCATCATTTAATGTCCATTTTCACATTCTGTAATGTCATGTCATTCAGTAATTTTTAGAACATAGATCTGACTTTATTTTTGTATTTTATCATTAGATGTTTTTTAGTTTATTTTTACATGTAAAAATGTAATTTTATATAACAAGCCATGGAAGTCCAAAGTACCAGGAATTGCTTGATAACACTATCTATTAAATAATCATCAAATTACTAAATCATTTGGAAGAAAAATCTTGTTAGCAATATATAACATGCTTTTCTGTAATCTTCCTTCTCTATTTATAGAGTGGGTTTTAGTTCAATCATTCCCATTCTTACTGATTAAAAAACCCAACAAACATAAATTGCTTTTCGCAGCAGCTTCTACGAAGAATGCAGATGCGTGGCTCATTCATGAGGGTCATCACCACTGAGCCTTTTTTTTTTCCTTTCAGGAAACTAAGCAGAAATAGCAGTGATTACGCTGCACAAATACAATATAGATGAACCTCTCGAGCTGACAAAACTAAGCTTCATTTGTAGGTAAGTCTAAGCAATTTCCAATTCCATCATTTAAACAAAAATTTGGCTGGTATAAACAGTGGGCATGCACAGAACCAAACTCCGCCATATGTATGTCCTTAAAACATCTGATTTTATAGTAAAATCTATTTGTTAATACCTCAAGTAAGTCATCCAAATGAAATGGCAAATTTTGATTTTTAAGGACTCCCTTCCCCAACCACACATATGTCCCTCAAAATGTACTGTATTATATTAACAGCAGCTATCTACTTATTTTACAACTATTTCGATTATTTACCTGGGGAGAATATTTATGAAATTCCTGAGAATGAATTAAGTTTTCAGCAAAGCCTTAAACTTTTTAACAGATTCCTCACAATAAGAAAAAATTTTAAAGTCCTACTATTAGACCAACTTTTACTATACAATATTTCACATAAATCATGTTTTACATTTTTTTTTCTAATTACATACAGCAAAAATCTCAAATCAACACAAGAATGCCAGAGGGAAAGGATGCATTGTGTTTAGCAGATGCAAATTAAAACACACAGATATAAAGAAGCAGTAAAACTTTAAATAAATCACACCCACTCTAAGTATCAATGAATAGCTGATATGCATTGCTGGGAGAATCATTTTTAAATGATTTTGTCAACAAGTTGTGCTTCTTATTAATTGTGGACTTAAAAAAAAAAAGGACCACTAAAGAATGATTTAACTTGTTATTTGTTATGTTCTCCAGATACTTAAAAAAAAATTTATTATACCATTAATGTGATTACCAAGCACCTAATTTTGGAAAGGCTTTATGTTTTCTTTTTCTCCCTCAGCAAAAGCGTTAATCCCCCAAATTAAGGTAAAGCTTATTGTTGATAAATTCTTAATGAAAATGATATAATGCAATGCTGAGGTGGTGAGTCACAGCCCATTGTAATGTGGACCCCATCTTTTATTGATGTGATCAAAAGTATGAGAAATCCACTGTTGCTCAAGAACTTTGTATCTTTCCTTACAAATGTAGAGAGGTTTGCCTCGCCTAGAATAAAAAGGAAAAAAAGGTATTAAAAGTTGTACAATACAGTGAAGATTTCACACACATTTAAAAAAAATAGATTCTTTATGGCTAAAATCTCACATAGTAGTTTGGTTTATTTTATATTTCCTTAGCATGTGGATGTGTAAAGTATCTCAAAAACTAGAAACAGCTTTAACTTAATGACTATCAGAATTTCTTAATATAAAAAAATAATTATTATTACAATTACAAAGCCAGGAATGGTACATTGTTCTTATTGATGAAACATCAATAAAACATTCAAATATACCCATGCATATCTAACCTAAGATCCCGATCTTCTTCTCCATGAGCATCCAAATACACAGAACCCCAGAGGCAGAAGCGGTGGCCTCGAATGATGATAATCACCGAAGCATTGATCAAAAGGAAAATTCCTGTTCCAGCACCACAGTTCTGAGAATGCTAAATAATTAAAAATACATCAGTGATCTTCATAATCAAATGGACTTTATAAGAAAATCAAGAATGCCTTAGTTAAATGTCTTCTAAATAATACCAAATATCTCTTAAATTCTTAAAAAGATTTCATCTAAGTTAAACTTACAATTTCATTCTTAACATTTGATTAGTAATACACTAGGAGGAATTTGGGTTAAGGATTATCTAGGAAAGCAATTAAGAGCCAACCTAAACCTAATTCAGAGGCTGGCACCCACAAGAGCAGGTATGACCACTGTCTTACTGCTCACCATGTAAGAGTTCCTACCATGAAAGGGCAACGGGCGCAGAGAGAGGAAGTGGAAGTGGACTTAAGACAAGTTTTACTCACTTAAGTAAAGCCTCAGATGTTTGGGTTTTTCTTTTTTTTAAACCCTTCTACTAGATTAACAAAAGAACAAGAACAAAATTTTTGTGTACTGTGTATTTAATTCAAAGAAGAGCTAATATGAAGAGCGGGATAACCACATATACCACATTTCCATGTGCCAGTACATTTGAGTTTTCATACATTTTCTATTATTTACTATTGCTTACCAATACACATTCACAGTAGCTTTGTTGCTTGCAGCAAAGTCCTTTCAGGCATACAAAAGTACCACAAACAAGGCAAACAGCAGGATCCTTAGGAACCTTAGTGCAGACACTACAGGTTTTTCTGTGGTAGTACTGAAAAATGGTGTTATAATTCTCAGGCAACTGGAGCAGGTGTGGTAATTTCCATCTTGACTCTTGGATAAGCAAGGCCTAAAATATTATCCAAAATTACTCATTAATCCTACGTATTTAAGTCACTAACACAAAATGCTTATATTTTAAAGCCCTTTTTTTTTCCTAAGAAAAACACATCTGTCTCTAAGTATGTGGCTTATTTTCTTTATTAAAACTCCTCTCAATTCCATTTTACAAATGACTAAAATAGTACAATTACTAATCTCTATTTTAATGTTGTTTCCAATTACAGTATGGTATCAGTTTTCAGATTACGTATGCTAAAACATTTAAACTTGTCATTACTTAAAAATATTAAACATAACTAAGACTGCACTAATGCAAAATTTTAAATAGTTAAACTTTTTAAAAATCAACTTTTGATCTTTCTCAGATAAACAATTTATTGGCTTTTCTTAAGGTAAGGTTATGGCTATAACTCATTATTTCTACCTCAACACTTTATAATTTAGAATCTCCTAAGAAGATGTAAAACCCTCTTGTACCACCAGCTGTTAAAGCCTTTTGTATCCATAAGTGCTATGGCTATAACTCTTTTTATAAACTTTCTGCTACAAGTATGGAAAAAAATGCCAAATTAGTTAAGTTTCCCCACAGAGTATACTTAATTCATTATTTGCAGTTTATAAAAATACTGGTAAAAGCAGTAATTGCTTTCTAGATGCCCCTCCATGAATAGATAAAATGAAATATGAATCTAATATCTCAAGAAACTGACCATTTCACATTACTTACAACCATAACCTATCTAAATTGATGTAGTACTTATGTAGTCAGCCTGGCATTTATCAATAAGCTCATGGATAAAGTGGCCATGGAAGCAAGGCCAAGGCCAATATATGTGCTTACAATATGCTATTTGCCTACATTCAGTGCCCAAACTCAGATTGCAAAGATTGCATATTCTGTAACGGGTTGGTTATACCGCACTCTTCCATCAGTGGAAGGGAGAGCAATTTGTCCTCACTGAACTTGATACCTATCTAGATTAGGCTGTCTATTACCCAGCAGCTCACACCACATGGTCTTAAAGAATTTTTTTCATAACAACAGATGTGAGGCAACAGGTGGATGCCTATGGAAGTAACTGATCCTAACATATATTCAAACATCTGACAAAACTGCTCATCTTTTAAATGACGAACTACTTCACTGATAGAATTTAGATGGTACCAGCTGAGAGAAAATAACTATAAAATGAAGTATATGCACCTACAGAATGAAGTACATGCTCTAAAACAGCAACCAGCACATTGTGGGTAATCATTTTCCCGCAGATGAAATCCATCAGTCTGGAAACCAGGGAGTGAGAAGTGGTTTTGGCAGGTCTCGTGATTACACCTAAGAATTCAGTTCTTTTATTTCTGTTTCCTGCTATTCTAAATTCTTCTGTGGTTTAGGACCATTCTAAGGAAGTTGTGTACTATCCTCCATTAGAGGATATGATAATAGTCCCACTGAAGTAGAAACTAAATGTCATCTGGCCATTTCTTCTCACTAGGAGAAGAAAGGAATGGCTTATAGCATAGTCTGAACTATCAAGAAGCATAGAAATCTTGCTATACAATTAGCAGCAGAATGTTTTAAACTTAGAGATCCCTGAGCCCCGCTGCTCACCATGTCCCAAGATCGAAAGATAAAAATTTAACACAAAACTATTATGGCCTTAATATAAGCAAGACAGAACCAATTACCAGAAGCTCAGACCTCTCAGAATAAAGTCTGGTTCACAACCTTGGTCAAATAAATACAACCTGTTGAGGTTCTGGTCACAGAAGATGCAAGAAGAAAGTCATATATTCGACTATATATTAGTTACAGCTTTATGACTACTTGTAAATGTTCTTGCTTACGGTGGCATATCTTCTTGCAAAATTTTCTATTATCTTTTTCTTTCACTTAACTATGGAATTCAGGGTGAGGAGCTGCTAATTAAAATTTTCCAGGCCACCAGGGTATAAGTACAACAAATACAGAAGGAATGGACGTCTCTCAGAGCCTCTGCATTCAGAAGGGTATGATGATGTAACTATTGGATGTGACTTTATTTGCATATTTGGCAAAGTGGTAGATGCATTTGTGATTATAAATGCAACGGTTACATCATTTTGAACAGGGGAATAAATGAAACTCTGTGAATGAGAATAAGGATGTCTACGTGCCAACAGGTAAGATATGAAGACAGTGGGCCACCATTGTTTGTTATTTATGTTTTTCAATTTGTCCACAACCTTATCTGCCTTCTTATACTATTAACAGTATTACAGTATTTGGAAAATAACCTCTTTTCTCGTTCCATACAGGTCTGACAGTTGCCCTAATGCAAGATCCTGCCCCATCACAGGGGTGTACATAGGATGCAGATTAGGTCAATCAGATCCTTTCTCCCAGGAATCTGAATCTTGAGCACCATACAGAAGGACGGAAAGTGGTTCAGATGGGGTTATCCAGTGGTAGCACTTCAGAGAAAACACACCAAAACTGTCTGTGACCAAAGAATCTTAGCTGATACAAAAAATCAGAGCAGTAATTCAGACTATCTTCCAAGGGTACTTTTGTTGGACTACTCAGCTCCAAATATGGTTTCTATCTTGTTCATATTTAAAATTCCAGGTAAAGAAAATCTGGTTGACCTGGGTCAGAGTCAGGACTAGAGAAAGAACAGAGTGGAACAGAGATAAAAGTAGGGATGCAGGTTGGATGGGAGTGCATTCAAATAACTGGAAAATTTTGGAGTAAGTAGAAATAAATGATACTGTTCTGGCTCTAAAACAAATCATTATCACTCAATTTTACACAAAAGATTATTTTTTAAATGACAAATTCTTATTTTCCATCAATATCCATACTAATAATCATACATCTAACATGGGAGCTTGTTATTATACTATCAAATGAATTAATTTTTTTTAAGATTTTGTTTATTTATTTGAGGGAGAGAGAGTATGTGTGAGTGTGTGTGTGTGTGTGTGTGCGCACACACAAGTAGGGAGAATGGCAGGCAGAGGGAGAGGGAGAAGCAGGCTCTCCTCTGAGCAGAGAGCTGGATGTGGGCCTCAATCCCAGGACCCCGGGATCATGACGCAAGGAGAACGTAGACACCTAACCAACTGAGCCACCAGGTGCCCCTCAAATGAGTTAATTTTTATCTATTGTTTAACCCATGACTCCTATGAAAACAAAAAATTTTAAGTACATGTATACTCATCACTTTCTCCTGTCCTGGTTCTAAGTTATATCCATCTCTTACCCCTAGTCATTCATTATAGGCTTCTAGACATCAATATATAACTTCAGATTCTAGCTATTATCTAAAAATAAGGAAATTACTAGATAGGAAAAAAATTTGTATACATAGTATACAAGGCCCAATTAATGTCTTAAAATTGTCTTTCCTTTAAAAGAGAGGGTATAAAATATTATTTCCTTAAGGATTTCAATAGAAAACAGAAGTGAACAAAAGCAGAGACATTTATTATTTATGCTTACCTTGCCTTTATTATTCACTCAATGTCTATTCTAGTGTGACACCTCTATCTAAAATACTGAGACTGGGTGGCAAAGTGAGTTAAGCATCTGCCTTTGGCTCAGGTCTTGATCTCAGGGTTCTGGGATCCAGTCGCGTGTTGGGCTCCATGCTCAGTGGGGAGTCTGCTTCCCAGCTCTTTCTGCCCCTTCCCCTGCCCATGCTATCTCTGTCTCTCTCTCTCTCTCAAATAAATAAGATCTTTTGAAAATAAAATAAAATATTAATTTTTTATTATCTCCTTTTTATTTATTTTTTATTTTTTAAAAAGATTTTATTTATTTATTTGACAGAGATCACAAGTACACAGAGAGGCAGGTGGAGGGGGGAGGGGAAGCAGGCTCCCTGCCATGCAGAAAGCACAATGTGGGGCTTGATCCCAGGACCCTGGGATCATGACCTGAGCTGAAGGCAGAGGCTTAACCCACTGAGGCACCCAGGTGCCCCTATTATCTCCTTTTTAAAATTAAAATTAAATTCTCATTTTCTCTGAAACATGGCTCTTCTTTTACCAGTTCTATTTCTACCAATGATATCATCCTACCAGTTAACTGTTCTACAAATATTTATTAGGTGACCAGTCTATATCAGGTACTTTCTAGGAACTAGCAATTCAAAGAAAAATAAGGAACAATTTTTGCTTTTGGAGCCCCCCATTCAGACATATTAAACAAACAAAAGTGATAAATATGGTGACTGTTAAAGATCATGGCAAAAGTACTGTCATATAACACAACAGAGGGAGGGGATTAGAATTGAAAAAGGAGGATTATCAGACAAAGCTTTACAGAAGAGGTACACTTATCTTAGCAAAGCCTTGAGGAGTGATTAATTCAACAGAAGGATAGGAAAACTGCTTTAGATAAAAGTAACAGTAATAAGAAATAACACATGTTTAAAAACATAGAGCACACTTAAAACATTCTTCTGCAGTTTGAGCAAGGTGGTAGCAGGGGAGTATGGACGAAGTTTAGAAAGGCAAGCAAGATGGTGAAAAGCCCTGAATGCTATGCAAAGACTCCAGTCTTTCTCCATACACCATCAACAGTATTTTAAGCAGGATCAGATTTCTATCAGAATTATGTCTACTAGTTACTATTCTCTCAATGCTTTGCTTTCAGATCTTAAAGTCAAATATACATCTGGTCATCAAGTCCTATATATTTTTCTCAAATGTCTCGTGCATTGGTTATATTCTATCTAATTTCTTCTGTCAGAATAATACCAGATTTTCTTCACCACCTACATAATCTCTGGCTTCTCTCTCTCCTTATTTCAATTTGCCTACTAAAAAACTACCCAAATTATCTCCCTAAAATACTTCCATCATATTATTCCATTTCTCAAAAACTGTAATTCCACCTATAGTTTGAGGTAGAAAGTCTAAGCATCAAACCATGGAATTCATAGCCACTTCCCACTGGCCCCACTCTACCTTTCCAGTTCAACTATCTTCAACACAAAACCCTTTACTAGCCAAGCTGGCAGGATAGGCCCAGCAAATTTTAAAGTTAAAGACACGGCCTTTTAAATCTGCTACTCCAAATCTTTGATTTTTGTGTGACAGCTGTCTTCCCAATAAGCTTATAAGTTCCTTGTCTATCTTAAAATTCCTTTGTATCTTTCGGGACGCCTGGGTGGCTCAGTTGGTTAAGCGGCTGCCTTAGGCTCAGGTCATGATCCCAGCGTCCTGGGATCGAGTCCCACATCGGGCGGGCTCCTTGCTCGGCGGGGAGCCTGCTTCTCCCTCTGCCTCTGCCTGCCTCTCTGTCTGCCTGTGCTCGCTCACTCTCTCTCCCTCTGTCTCTGACAAATAAATAAATAAATAAAATCTTTAAAAAAAAAAAAATTCCTTTGTATCTTTCAAGTCTAGGGCTATGATTATTTAAGACATTCAATAAAAGCCTAATGACCTAAAACCAACTTAGAGTAGCATATTAATAACTTAGCTTTGTTAATTGAAGTATTTTTGCTTTTAGAATCATAAACATTACATAAGGAAACCATTTTTCAACATAATTAGTTTAGTATATGCTCCCCAAAACAGCTGATCTGAAATTTTTAATTCTTCATTGTTCTCTTACCCTATTAACATATCACCCCTATGTCAAGTGGGCAATACTACTCTTTTTACGTACCTTTCCTTGTTCTGCATGTCTTTCAGTAAATGAATTTATCTCAAGACACCACTGAGATATAATATCAAATGCTGGAACTGGCCAATCCAGACAAGAGGCACTGATGAATGGATGTTCTGTTTGGTAAAATGTTGGCAGAAGTCCCAGGCAGCTGGAAAGAACCGAAAATTCTTCTTCTTCCTTTTAGACATGAAACAGAAAATTCTCAAGGCATTTCATAAAGAACAGTTCCCATTATAGATATTTTAAATGTCATCCTCATCAGTTACTTTTGGACAGTAAGAAAATTTTCTCAACGGAGTCAAGTAAAGGAAAATATAGGGAGTAGAAGGAGCAAAGAAGAGATAATAGGTTCCCAGCTTTCTATCCAAATATCCCACAGTATTTCTCATTGAAATTTAAATCTTAAGTGATTTAAGATAGCATCTGCTTCTTCTATACATTTATTTTTTAAATAGTGTTGCACATTTCTGGTGAATAATACAGTCTATAGAATCTAGCCACTCTATGAGAGCAAATGTTTTGGGGGCAAAGGGAAAGTAACTTTTGGGTAAAAAGACATAGGCTGTCAGTGTGGCTGAAGAACAGTGAAAATATGGAATTCACAAGATGTAGTACAGAATAATATGCCAGGACCCTGAATGAGTGTGAAACTCCAAAAGAGGGTGGAGATTTTAAAAACTTGAGAGATCTAAGTGCCAGCTAAGTTGAAGTTCTATCAGTAATAAGAGAAACAAAGAAATCAGTGAGCTAAAGGATTCAAATCCTGTGCTTTAAAGGACTTTGTTAGTCTTATAAACACCAAAATACACCCCCCACTCCTTCTCTATTTAACTAAAGACTATTTAGGAGGCTAATATGTTTACTTTCCCCTGTCCACTGATCAATTCCTCTCATCCTTCAAATGACAGCTCCCCAGAGAATCCTTCCCTGACCAAACTTAAAGACCTCTTAGATTACTCAGCTCCATTCAGATAAAGTGAACCCGTCCATACTTTGTAAACACTTCTCTTCTTGTGTTTATATTTTCTATTAATTAATTTTAAAATAAATTAGCATTTCCTGTAAGACTATGGGAATAGTATCTTGGGGTAGGGGCTCTGTTTTCCCACTGCTTGGCACATAATAAACATTCAAACATCTGTTTGCAAAATTGAACTAACTATGTAGATTAAGTATAAAATTCTATAATGTGCTACAAAGAAAAAAATTAAAGATAAAAAAGCAAAATGAAATGCAGGCTGAAAAAGATGTTAATTTTTATAATCTCTAGAAATGAGGCTATACATCTCCCATTTTTCTAGCAACAATAAAGAAGGCATCTTAAAAAAAACAATATAATTGAGGTGTATTACACATACCATAAAATTTGCCCACTCTAAGTGTAGTTTGATGCATTCTGACAAATGTATAGTCAGGTAACCACTACTACAATAAAACTTCAGAACAATTCCCTCCCCTCCAAAAATTTTGCTTTTGCCTATATGCAATCAATTCCAGCCCCTACTCCTGGCCCCAAGCAACCACTAATCCTGCTTTCTGTCTTTATAGTTACGAATTTTTAAAAAATTTCCATATAAATAGAATCAAACTGTGTGTGTATGTGTGTGTGTGTGTGTGTGTGTGTGTGTGTGTGTGTGTGGTCTTTTGTGCCTGTCCTCCTTTCACTGAGCATATTTTGAGATTCATTCATGTTATTGTATCAGCAGTCCATTCCTTTTTACTGCTGAGTAGTATTATACTGTTTGGATATACCTCCTTTTATTCACGTGTTTACTTGCGAATGAATTCTGGGTTGCTTAGTTTTTGACTACTACAAATTAAGCTGTTTTAAACATTTATGTACATCTTTATGTGAACATATGTTCTATTTCTTTTGGTAGATACCTAGGAGTAGAATTGTTGGGTTGTACAGTAAATGCATGCTCAGCTTTTAAAAGAAATTGCCAAACTTTTTTCAAATTTGACTATATACTACATCAAAAACTAATGATGTACTGTTCAGTGGCTAACATAATAAAAAATTTATATAAAATAATTTTACTATGCCATTTTGCATTACCGTCAGCAATGAGTAAGAGTTTCAGGTACTCTAAATCCTCATCACTTGTGACATTAGTTTGTACTCTTCTAATCAACAATGATGGTGAATACATTTTCATGTACTTGTGGGTCATTCATATATATTCTTATGAAAAGTGCCTGTTCAAATTTTATACCCACTTTGGTTTTTTTTGTTTTGTTTCCTTACATTACCAAATTATAGGAGTCCTTGATATATTCCAGATAAAAGTCCCTTCTCCGTATATTTTTTAAATTGAGATGTAATTTGTATACCATAAAATTCACCCTCTTAACATGTATAGCTTAGTATATTCACAAAATTGTGCAGCATCACAAACCTAATAGCAGAGTATTTTCCTAACCCTATTCTAAATGGAATTACTTTTTAAATTTTGTTTTCAGATTGCTCATTGCTAGCACAAAGGACTAAAATAGATTTTTTTGTACATAGATCATGTAGCCTACAAACCTGCTGAACTCATTTATTAACTCTAATAATTTTTTGGAAATTCCTTATAATTTTCCACACATAAGATTATGTAATTTGCAAACAGACATTAATTTACCTCCTCCTTTCCAAACTAGATGCCTTTATTTATTTTTCTTACTTAACTGTTCTTTCTAGAACTTCCAATTCAATGTTAAAAAGAGGTAATGAAGGCAGCTTGTCTTGTCTATCCTTGTCTTGTCCCTGATCTTAGCAAGCTCTCTACCTTTCACTCTTAATAATTATGTTAGCTATGGGTTTTTCATACATGCCCTTTATCAGGTTGAGAAAATTCCTTTCTGTTCCTTATTTTTTTTAGTGTTTTTACCATGAATGGGTATTGAATTTTGTCAAACATTTTTTGACAACTGAGATGATCATATGCTTTTAAAAAATCAATTCTATTAATATTGCAAATTAAATTAAATGATTTTTGTTGTTGAACCAACTATGCATTCCTAGGATAAACCCATTTGGCCATAGTGTGTTATCCTTTTCTAGTACAAATATTGTTAAGGCTTTTGCTTCTATGTTCATGAAGGATCTGGAATTGTAGTTTTTTCATGATGCCTGGTTTGGGTATCAGGATAAAACTGGCCTAATAAAATGAGTTTCGACTGTTCCTTCTTCCTCTGTTTTCTGAAAGTTTGTATGTATTGATACAATTTCCTCCTTAAATGTTTTGTGGAAATCACCATGATGTTTTCTTTGCTAGTGTAAGTTGTGGAAATCACCATGATGTTTTCTTTGCTAGTGTAAGTTGCTGACTTCTCTTTTTTTGAAGGATACTAATTATATAAGTTTAGTAAGCTAAATCAACTTTCTTACTTGATACAGATCTAATCAAGATTTTCTATTTCTTCTTGAGTCAGTTTTAGTAATTTGTATTTTCAAAGAATTTGTCCATTTCATCTACATGATCAAATTTGTTAGCAAATGTTATTCATAATTTTCTCTTATGTTTCTATAGGGATGTTTCCTCATTCATTCCTGATATTGGTAGTTTGTACTTTCTTTATTTTCTTACCAATCTAGTGACGAGTCTGGCTTCTGGTTAAAAATCTATGTGTGGGGGCGCCTGAGTGGCTCAGTTGGTTAAGCAACTACACTAAATGTGTTCAAATCCTGGCTGCTTTAAATACTAGCTGTGAATCTTGGGCAAGTTATTCATCTCTCTGTTTCTGTTTTCTTGTCTGCAAAGTGAGGATCGTAACAGCTACCTCATAGTTGTTGGGAAACTAAAATGAATTTAAATGCAAAGCGCTTAAAACAGTGTTAGCATGTGTCAATACACAATAAATGCTAGGTATCATTATAATTATTCATGGAAAAACTACTATTGACAGAAGAAAGAAAAAAATAATTAAAGAAGATATAGTAGAGCACTGTTTTTCAAATTTGGGGGACGGTAGTGGTAATCATAGTTTCCTATAAGAGCACGGCTGGGTATTTACCCCAAAGATACAGATGTAGTGGAAAGAAGGGCCATCTGTACCCCACTGTTCAGAGCAGCAATGTCCACAGTGGCCAAACGGTGGAAAGAGCCAAGACGCCCTTCAGCAGATGAATGGATAAAGAAGATATGGTCCATATACACAATGGAATATTACGCCTCCATCAGAAAGGATGAATACCCAACTTTTGTATCAACATGTACGGGACTGGAGGAGATTATGCTGAGTGAAGTAAGTCAAGCAGAGAAAGTCAATTATCATATGGTTTCACTTACTTGTGGAGCATAGGGAATAACATGGAGGACATTAGGAAAAGGAAAGGAAAAGTGAATTGAAGGAAATCAGAGGGGGAGACGAGCCATGAGAGACTGCGGACTTTGAGAAACAAACAGGGTTTTAGAGGGGAGGAGAGTGGTGGGATGGGTGAGCCTGGTGCTGGGTATTATGGAGGGCATGTATTGCATGGAGCACTGGGTGTGCTGCATAAACAATGACTCTTGGAACACTGAAAAAATGAAAAATAAAAAATAAATAGTCTGATAACCATTTTCTTCCATGAAAACTACACATGTATAAACATCTTACGAACAATGCTCTGGAATTCAAAAATTATCTGAAGTTCCTGTGTAAGGGACTGTATCCTCTGTATTTATCCAGAGGATAAATGTGAGAGGCTGCATTTAAGTAGGAGAAAATATAAGAGAACCATATAGATTACTATAATTAGCCCTATTATGGTAGTAGAAATAGTGTTAGACTAAAACATTTAAATTGGGAAGGTCTAATAGATTACTGTGGAGAGTAGAATGTTTTGTTGGAATATGTACTACTATATCACTCTTGACGAATTCCCATGCTTACCAAAATGTTAAAAAAATTTTTTAAATTTATTGTTAAACTCAAGAGTCTCCTGGCTATTAGAAATAATTACTGAATTTATTAGCAAAATGGTTAAAGGTAGATGATTAATGTTCAAAAATTCCGAATGGGTTTTGCACAGAAAACTTGAGAAGAATTCTCTTGGGGATAGGGCAAGAAAAAAGGGATGCTGCCTGTTACTTACACTGCTCAAAATTCTAACTGGACATGTATTGAGACAAGAACAGAAAAATAAAGATTTGAAGAAAAGGGACAATACTGTCCTTATTCTCAGATGATATGATCATAATTACATAAAATATCTAAAAAAAGCAACAGGCAATGGTGGTGGATATTAAGGAGGGCACATATTGCATGGAGCACTGGGTGTGGTAAATAAACAATGAATCTTGGAACACCAAAAAAAATAAAATAAAATAAAATTACAAAAAAAAAAAGGGAATCAACAGACAAACTATTAGAACCAATAAGTGAATTCAGCAAGTGGCCAGACACAAGAACACACCAAAATCAATAGTATTATTCCATTCCAGCAAGGAGTAATCAATGTGCAATAGAAATAAGACATCATGTAGATAGAAACTGAAACCATAAAGCCTCTAGGATTCACTTTATAAAGAATGCTCCAGACTTTAAAATGACAATTTTAAAGTTCTATAAAAAATATTAAAAGAAGACCTGAATGGACATATAAACTATTTTCAATGCCTTAAAACTACATGTTCAAAGTAATTCTAATCTATCATCTTGTAGGATTTGGGAAGAAAATTTATAAATTGATTATAAAATTATTTATGATTATTGATTATAAAATTATTATTATTCAAGTCTCCCGAGCCCAAAACCCTAGTACAGTCTGACTCATCTTCCTTGACTCCCTACATGTTCAACTAAAATCCTGACTATTCCATCTCTGAAATCTCTAATTTCTCCCTATTCTCTCCAACTAGCTTCTCTGTTCCCAGTCTCCAGTCCTCATACCCCCAAATCGGTCTTATTTTAGAATGAAATTTTATACTAAAATAAAAATTGAATCATGTCACATTTTGGTCTCAAATCTTTCAATGGTCCAAATTCCTTCACGTGAAATTCAAGATCCATTACAACTTTACTTTAATCTATTTCTAACACTATGTAGCATTGTTTCTTTTTGTGCCTCCTAATTGATGCATTTCTTTCCTGTTCTAAGCACATGCTTGGTATGCTACTACAAGCATCACAGTCAACACCCAGCCAGCTTTCAACGCCCAGTTCAAGAGCTTCTGCTTCCAGATAATTTCCAACTTATGGGATTAAAAATACCTTAATAATAAACAAAACAAAAAAAATGACAAAATAAACCTTATAAGGTAATAAGCACACAAAGAATCATAACCTATGGCCTTTAAATATGAATGGAGAAAAGTTAATGAAGGAGGCAGTAGATTTTTTTCTATGGATCTCCATGCCTGAGGATGCTCATACAGCTGTTCCCTGACCCACCCCCCACCCATGACAGTTTCGCCTTCTGTGATTTCAGTTACTGGTGTCAACTGTAGTTTAGAAACAGATGATCCATCTTCTGACATATGGTCAGAAGGCCAATAGTAGTCTAACTCGACATCACAATGCATACATATCATTCATTTCATCTCATCATGTAGGCATTTTATCATCTCACATCATCACAAGAAGGGTAAGTACGCTATAGTAAGACATTTTAAGAGAGAGACTGTACTCACATAACTTTTATTATAGTATATTGTTTTATGTATCTATTGTTATATGTTCCATTATTATTGTTAATCTCTTAATGTGCCTAATTTATAAATTACAGTATCATATGTATCCATGTATAGAAAACAAAAACTAGTGTATGTAGGGTTTGGTACAAGCCCTGGTTTCAGGCATCCAGTGGGGGTCTTGGAACATATCCCCTGCAGATAAGGGGGAACTACTGCACGCCAAAGGAAACACTTTTAAGTTGAAATTTAAAAATAACTATGAAAGAGAATACCTAATGGATGAACATTTTTAATTTATTCAATATCCATAAACTTTAAATGCTTTGAGGATAAATGTGCAGAGTTTATCTTAAAGCACTTTAAAAAAGCAAAGAATCTAAACTATTTAATTCTGATGTACTGCAGGCTTCAAACACCATATATGTGATAAATGTCTTAATTTCCATATCAAATTCCCTAGAAACAGATGACAGATAATGTCAGGAGTATAATCCTATAAGCAGTTTCATTGACTTACCTTCTGGTTCCCTATTCTGCCACTTTCTTGCCTATTCACATCAACCAGTTTTATAAAATAGATTCAACCAGTGATAATTTGTGTTTCCAAATTTTCAACATAACTATCTACAAATTGAACATTTTCCTGTTCTATAATTATATAAATGCCATCATGTCTTCGGACAAACAGCTTTCTGACCAACATAACTTTTAAAAGGATAGTAAAAGCAGATGACAATCAGTGATTAATATATCAATATAATAAAAATAATGATAAATATATCACTATGAATACTATGGTCCTGTTCAACTATTGGGCATTATCACTATTCTACAAAAGTGCTCAAGTATCAAGTATTAGTAATATTATCATAAAAGTGAGTGGATACTAGCAAATACAAAAAAAAATAAAACATTAATAGTAAATGTTCTAAATATTTATTCCTTAGAGTTAGACTAACATACTTACATGACAGTTCTGTATATAGATGTAAGTATCATACTATATGTCAGTATATTTCAAAAAATTAATTAACTGTAAAAACAAGACTTCTTATTCTCTACCCCAAATTATACCTGGCAGCTAGGTAAATCTTCCCCAAAAAGGTGGTGCTGAAGAAGGCTGGTGATTCTGAGGAAAGGTAAGCAGAAGTCCTGTAAGTATTTTTCCATGGATTCAGGAGACCAAGCAACAGGGCTAACCTAAAGTTAAAAAAGAGAACCTGAACAATTTATTCTGTAATAGATATAGCTTAAAAATTATATTCATAATGGCAACAATATCTAAATTTTTAACAAATAACCACTACATCTGGAGCATACCATTGCACATTCCTGAGTGCCCTCTTCATGGTATAACCTTCCTTTAGATAGTTCGCTTATCACAAAGCTCAGTAACACTTCATAAGACTTTTCTGCATCACTTGTATTCTAGGAAAAAATGAAAAATTAGTTCCATCAGTCAATGAAAATTACAGAAAAAAATTACATTGGAAAGAACACTTTTTAATAAGTAGAGGTATAATTGTGACTTGTTTTTTCACAAATGTAAACTTCAATTCCTCAAAATCTGTGTACAACCATACACCTCTAGATTTATAATGAAATTGGGTATGTGATAAAACTATCCCAATACTTCTTTATTTCTTCAAAACTTTTTAAAGATTTTATTTAATTATTTGCTAGAGATTGAGAGAGAGCGCAAGCGAGCGCAGGAATTAGGGGTAGGAGCAGAGGGAGAAGCAGGCTCCATGAGAGAGAAGCAGGCTCCATGCTGAACAGGGAGCCTAACCTGGAGCTTGATCCCAGGACTCTGAGCCAAAGGCAGATGCATACACTGACAGCCACACAAGTGCCTCTCCAATGCTTCTTTAAAATACAGACATGGGGCACCTGGGTGGCTCAGTGTGTTAAAGCCTCTGCCTTCAGCTCAGGTCATGATCCCAGGGTCCTGGGATCGAGCCCCACATCGAGCTCTCTGCTCAGCAGGGTGCCTGCTTCCCCCACCTCTCTCTGCCTGCCTTTCTGCCTACTTGTGATCTCTGTCAAATAAATAAATAAAAACTTAAAAAAAAAAGACATAAATTACATAATATATATCTAAATGAACATATGTAAATCATATCTTTTGACCCAGTAATTTCCACTCCTGGAAATTCTTCCTAGGGAAATAATCGAAAAGAAAAAAATAACTAAACACTTAAGACATTCACTGTAGCACTATAATACTGAAAAACCAGAAATGACCAACAAGTGAAGCAGTTACCTAAATTATGCTGTCTCAACTCAAAAGAATATTTTATAGGCAGTGAATATGACAAATTTGAGCTATATGAAAAAATGTTCATAATATGATGTGAAAAAAGCCAACAGAAGGAATATATACATACACTCATTACAATAGCAAAATCATACATGCATGAAATGGAAGAAATCACAGACCACAAATTTTTTCTTTTAGAACTTCCCTTGAATTCCTTGAACAGGATTTGTTAAAACAATTTAATGTAAAAATAATATAGGATAATGCTTATTAAATGATGTATAGATACATTAAATAACTATTTACAAATTAATTAAGCTTAATGATGCTATACTTTTTCTAAGAAAGGAGATATAATGGCTATTTGTAAATTCAAATTTATGTTAATAAGGTTTTTTGTTTGTTTGTTTTTAAGAAAGAATGTGTGTAGTGGGGTGGGATGGGGGAGGGGCAGAGAGAAAGAGAGAGACTGAATCTTAAGTAGACTCTACGCCCAGCACGGAGCCCCACATGGGGCTTGATCTCACAACCCTGACCTGAGCTGAAATCAAGAGTCAGATGCTTAACCTACTGAGCCACCCAGGCAACCATGTCATTAAGTTTTTTACACATAAAGAAATATGCCTCTTTTTATATTCACTGAGATATTAGAGGTTGTTGAAAATTACAGTAAAGTGTAAACTGGGCTACAGTAATAACCTTGCTATGATGTCATTTATTCTACTCATAAATTATACTTTTTAAATAGTAAAATATAAGACTTGAGTAAACACTATAGGATATATGCTCATCCTGACAGTCTGATCAGCACTAGTTGTCTGAGCTACAGAATTTGTTCTTTGATGATAGTCTTCCTATTGTTTCTCATGGGTAATTGTGCTCTCTTCACCTAGACAGTAAATTTCAAAATGTCAGGAACTATACTTTGTATTTTATATGTTTCCCTTTGCATAACAAAAATCTGAGCAGTAGATCTGCTATCTAGTTGATAGAATTTATTTTGGTAACACTGGAGTTTTTGACCTTGGAACTTGTCTAGATAATCAATTCTTCGTATTATCTTTAAACTACTCCTCTTACTGTCATATTATTCAGCCATGTAGTGTTATCATGCCCTGATTCTAAACTACAAAAACAGTCCTCTGACTCTATAACTGTACTCTTTAAATCATGTGATCCATCCCACTCTTGCCAAATTAACCAACAGGATGATCACTTGCCAAATATGATGACCTACAGGTTACATATAATTCACAACAATTAATATCCCACTTAATTTAAAACAGCAACACATTATGTTTTTAAAATTAATTTAATCAGTTGTTTTTAAATAGGCAGAATTCACTTAAACTCAAAATGCAGAAGACTCGAGATAATATTACCATGATTTTGCTGCTTATAATCAATGTGACATATTAAAGTTTCTAAAAATAGGGTGCCTGGGTGGCTCAGTGGTTAAGCAATTGCCTTCAGCTCAGGTCATGATCCCAGAGTCCTGGAATCGAGTCCCGTGTCGGGCTCCCAGCTCCACAGGGAGTTTGCTTCTCCCTCCCACCCCAAAATAAATAAATAAAATCTTTTTTTAAAAAGAGTTTCTAAAAATAAACAATTCAGCCTAAAAGCTTCCTAAATTCAGTATACCCTTCAGTAAGAGATTTATAGTACAACAACAGAGAAGTATTTCAAGTCAAATACTTTCTAACTTATGGGGAAAATACCCTCCAATAAAAATAAATGATGTTCAGATCATCCAAGTAAGTTACAGAGTAATAATCAGCTTTTAGTCGTTATTATTAAAATACAGCTTAAGCACTTCTTTCATACATGGCAGGAACTATATGAGATCAGGAAGTCAAATATAATGTAATATTCACTCTTTTATGGAGAACTTCTGGCCAGAAGATTTATTAGATAAGAAAATAATTTTATTTCGTACATAAGAAGTCTTAGGAGAACATATTATTATATAGGCAATATTTGATTTTACAAATAAGGTTGTAAAGCTTAAGAGGGGTATTTCTGAGACCATCGGTGAAAGACCTAGAATTAATATCAAAAGAATCCAAAGGGAGGGGCACCTGGGTAGCTCAGTTAGGCGTCTTGCTTCCCCTGGGGTCATGGTCCCAGGGTCCCTTGTAAGGCTCCTTGCTCAGCAAGGAGTCTATTTCTCCCTCTCCATGTGTCCCTCCCCACTGTTCATGCTCTCTCACTCTCCCAAATAAATAAATAAAATCTTAAGGGGGAAAAAAAAAGAGAGAGAATCCAGTGGGAGAGATGGCAAAGGTACGTGGATTAAATGAAGAAAAGGATCAGAGGTTGAGACATGCAACAGTTATGTGTGGGGCAGATACTTTGTCTAAATTATAGCAGTTCTTCAAATTTTGCAGGTGACAGGCCATTTGAGTATGCTGGATGCTATGGTCCCACTCCTCAGCAAAACAAACAAAACAAAAGGAAAGGAAAAGACCTCAGGTTATGAAATCCCAATATAGTCTTTTAACAGAAATTCCACCAACCAAAAGAAAACAATTTATACCAACTGTAATAATGATTTTTCCAGCACAACAAAACTTCATTATCTTTTAAAAATACATAGTACCTATATTTTTATGGCCCTGGACCAGATTAGAGCTGGCAAAAATCTGTTTTCATTGGAATTATCGTATCTGAGGGATAAGAAAATGAGGGATGTAATGAGTGAGACTCAGTGAAGAAAGGAAAAGAAGAAGGGGGTGAGAGAAGGAAGGAATAAGTAAAAGAAGAAGGAAACTTTTAAAAAGGAATGAATGATGCAGAATAGTTACAGAAATCACAATGATATGTTTCACTACTTGTAAATATTGTTGTTGCTATTATTTACAATCTGCTATATATCTAAATGTTTAGATTATGGAAAAAACTAGCAACATGTGTCAAACCAACAGGATACCATAATTTTTTGTTTCCATTCACTAAAAGCAATTTATATGGTTAAAAACTTCTAATTTATGTTCTGATAAGAATCTGCCTTACATTAAATGTTTCATTAACTATTTTTTAAAATAGCTAATAATTATCAAATTGAGAAAGAAAATTGACAGAACAGTTACCCTAAATTAGTTCCAACACAGATTTACAATTGTAATTTTCTGTCATCAGGTCTCATTTTAGCAAACAATCAGATGAATATATTTAGACCTAAATTATATCAGAAAATGTTTTAAATGTGTACTGTTTCATGATTAGATAGCTTATTAAGGAAATATATTTAAACAATGACATAGCATAGAAACCTAATAGACCTGATTTGAATACTAACAATCCAACTATCAGATTACAATGCAGAGATATTGAAAGAGTATTTAGAAAAAAGAAAGATAATTATAGAAGGCAAAATTATCCAAGAATGAACTATTTAGTGGCAGGACCTCAGCCTAGCATTCAAGCCAAAACCAATATCCCTAATTAAGACATAATGAACTTGGTGATACTATATTAAATTTTTGTATATATAATCATGGTTTGTGAGTAAGCTAGTAATAAAAGTGAAGACTATATTGAATTCAGTTCATGTGTAAGTTTACTTTCCTTTGATATAAGTAGATACGATTTTAATACAAACCTTTCAGTAAGGTTTAAAACCTCCTGAAGGGTCTATAAACCAATCAATAGGTTTAATTAACATTGCACTTACTATTTTTTCCTACCAACTTCCCCAATAAACACTGAATTAATTTTCTTATTTTACCTATGTCTCAGCCAAACCACTAAGTCAGTTCTTTAGTTCTACAGTATCACTTCATTCTGAAGTCACTGAAAACACTTACATTTAACTAAACTTGCATACTTTTTCTAAATTGTTTATGTAATTTTAGCCAGAAAACTTTAAATTTGCTAAGAACTCATTTTTGAAGAGGGGAGGGGTGCGGGGTAGAGGAACATGGACAGAATCTTTAGCAGGCTCCATGCCCAGCATGGAGCCAGACATGGGGCTCAATGCCACAACCTTGCGATCATGACCTGAGCAAAAACCGAGAGCCGAATGCTTAACTGACTAAGCCACCCAGGCACCCCACTTACGTATTTTTTTAAGCATGGAAAAATTAGTATTTGAAGAAGCATAATTAAGAAAAGGCTAGGATTTTTAATTCTTTAGTGATAGGTCGAAACCCATCTTTGGAATGATTGGAAACAGGAGCAAGGAGAAGAAAAGATGACAAATAAAATAGGTTAAGTCTGCAGATATTTTATTACTTGCTCACTGGCTGGCACAATTTTTATAATTTCTCTAAGTTTAAGACTTGCAAGCAAAAGCAAAAAAAACTTCCCAAATGAAAAGGGAAAAAAGGCCAAGTTTAAAAATAGATGCAGAAGACCTCATTGATCAAGGAAACATTTTTTAACTTTTTTAACCTAAAGGTGCTCCATTTCAATTGAAATACTTTTTTTTCAAAAGTTTTTTTTCAAAAGTTTGCCTTTCAAACACCAAATCTCATTCATTCATACCCCCAACTTAAATGAGTTAACCAAACTACTAAATGACAAATTCAGGCAAGACACTAACCTTTTTGAGAGCTCCCGTGTGTTTCCAGGCTGACCTATCTTCCTCATTGCATTTAACTGAAAGTGCCACAAGGGCTTGTGTGTATAGAAGGGTAAAAAGCACCTTCACAATGCAGGTGAAATGGTCTACAAGAGAAAGAGAAGATCATTATTTCTTTGAAATCTAGACATTTTGTACTCAAGACCACTTCACAAGTATATGTCTTTCTTTAAACATGTAATTGGTTTTGTTCAACATTTAAGTAGTTAATAAAATGAGATTACGTGATATTATATTTGCTGCCAATTGATCTGAAACCCTAAAAGCAACATTCCTTTATTCATCCACAGAATATGTAAATGAGAAGCATTTAGCATAGTGTAAAATGTGCTCTGTTTTAGAAGACCAGAGTGCTTAATGTCACTCAACCTTGAATAGCTGTGTAATGTTGGCAAATCCCCTTACTGGACATTATGTGATTAACAAGAATGTCTAGGAGCTAGTGTTTAAAACCAACACTTCACTCGCTTCTAGTACCATATAAACCTTATAAAGAATATAACAGATAATACAGAACTTCTAAATTTTTTTTTAAAAAAGGAAATACCAATATTTTAGGTACTCTGAGTTTAAAAATTCAATTTAAAACTATAACAATGCAAAAACAGTGGTAACAATATATAAAATGCCTGGTAGCTTCTGGAACATATTCAGTACTTAATAAATGATAGCTCAAAAATCATAATATTTACATCCAGCTAATAATATAGAAATTTCCTCAACCAAGCCTCGTAACAGTCTCAGTTGGACCTCTGAGTTTCAAAAGGATGTGCCTCTATTAACAAAGCTAATAAGCACCCAGGTCTGAACTTGAATCCACACAGAGCATTTTATTGCAGGTTCAGTTTCCTTCTATTGTTGACACTGCTCCACTAATAAATGGGTAGTACCACTTAATTAGTTGCTAAAGTCAGAAACCTATAGATATCCTTGATACTTTCTTATTTTATTCTCCCCACATGAAAACAATCACTAAGTCCTATCAATTCTACTTTTAATAACTCTCTCAAGTCAGTTCCAACCACCCCGGACCAGGCTTCTAACCTTTCTTGCCCACACCTATAATCTCAGATTAAAGAGCTGTGTTGGAGGTCCCCAAGACAACTTCCAAGCTAATGATACACTAGGAGGACCCATAAGACTCAGCATATGGTCCTATAATTTATTACAGCAAGTGATACAAAATAAAATCAGAGAAGGCAAAAGGTACATTGGGCATAGTCCAGATGAAACTTCCAGTTTTCTCCACCAGTAGAGTAACACAGGGCATGCTTAATTCCTCTAACAATAGACTGTGAAAGCATGTGAGAAACTGACACCAGGGAAGCTCTTTAAGAGAAAGTCAGTGCCCCGGGTTTTCATTGGGGGCAGATCACGTAGGCACCCTCTAGCACATATTAAAGTTCTAGCACATATCAAAGTTCTAAGCTTCCTAGCACATATCAAAGTTCTAAACTTCCACGAGGAAAGCAGATACGTTCAGCATAAGCCACTGTTTGTACAGTTTAGACACAGCAAGCCACTCTCATCAGTTCTATGGATGGTGGAAATGATGGAGACCCTCCCCAAATTGTGGTTCCCAGATGCCAGTCAAGGCCTTGCAAAAGTTAACAGTCAAGCCTTTCATGTTAACTCTTTCCTGCACAATGATTTATGTGCATTATCCCTTAAACCCCTGCAATCTACTTTTTAAAAAAGCAGCCATTGATCCTTATAAAAGAAGTATCTGGACACCTTTAAGTGGTGACTCCACATCTGTCCACCTCCCCATGTCTGACCCAGCCCCCAAACCAGCAACAGGGCCCCCAGGGAGCCTGCCCCCTTTCTGAGCCAGGGCTGCTCAGACAGTCCTGTGCCTTCTCTCTCCAGGAGCTCAGAGCTTGTGGCTGCAGACCTAGCACCACGAAGCAGGTGTTCTGCCTCGGGCCCAGCTCTGGCTGCGCGGCCCCTGACCCCACTCCAAAAGAAGTATTTGGTATCCTTCTACTGGGTCTCTGTACAAGTTGAAACACTCTTTCCTTCCTCAGAGCCTGGCTAACTCTTGGTCAGATGACAACTTAAGTTCACTTACTAAGGAAAATCTTTCCTGATTTTAAAGTGACTGAGTGGGTATGTGCATGCACACATACACACGCACTGTCTTGTACTCATGTTGGTAGGATGGGGTGGGAACTTGACATAGCTGAGCAAGTTGGAGTGCCCATCTGGGATCTTTCTAACTAGAGGTAAATGGAAGGTATAAAGATGTGAGCCTGGACGAGCCCCTGGTCCATGGCAGAGACTGTCTAAAGTAACACTGAATGAGGCAGACTCACAGAAGAGACCCAAGACAAAAAAAACTCTGTCAGCATCCAAAGCCCTGGTTCTGATAATTCCGACGACTACCCTGAAATCTACAGTTTGGTAATGTGAATCCATCAGTGTTCTTTCTCTGTGCTTTTAAGCCAAATGTTTTAAATGTCCTAACACCAAAGTGATGAACATATGCAGGATTCAGACAATAAGAACTTACAATCTGGATAGAGAGAAAGAAACAGACAGATGACTACACACATGCACATGGTATACTGGGAGAATACAGGAGGAGGAACTAATGGAGATAAGGACAGGGCACAGAAAAAAAGTAAAGCCTCCTGTACCAACCAGGACAGTTAAGTCTTGAATAATAAAGAGACATAAGCCATTTAATAAGGAAGGCAGGGAAAGGGAGAGGTAAAGAAAAGGGGATTCCAGACAGATGAAGTCATTTCTATGAGGGCACAGAAAAAGCCTAAGGTTTACAAGAATTGTAAACTATCCAGTGTAACCAGAATACAAGTAGTGATTTTTGAGAGATGAAGCTAGAAAAGCAATCTTTGTGCTAAAAATGAAAGGCTGTGAACTATAGGCTACCTGTTTGCAGCCTACAGAGATGTCTGGTTTGCCTTTACCCTGTTTAGTTTTTAGTTACTGACGTTTAAAAATAGGATATTTCTTATAGAAGTCTCAAATTCCCCTTATTCTCAAAAACCAGGAAGATCTGACAACACTAGGCGCACATTCTTATATGTCAACAACGATCTGAAGCTGAGTGATAACTGTCCTCTTCAGCGAAGCATACATTCTAGAGAACTGCCATAGTCCTCCACTCCTGATTATAACAAACCAAAGACTGTTTCACAAGGAGTCAGTACATAGCATTATGGTTAAGAATGAATTTAGGCTATGAAGCCAAATTGTCCAGATTTAACTCTGACTCTTCAGATCTTAGGCAGGTTAGTAATACACTTTGGCTTTTATTTCTTCATCTGTTTAATGGAGATAATAATCTCACCTACCTTAAAGGGATTAAGTGAAATAAGGTTTATACTTAAATGCTTAAAACAGTAAATAGCAATGGCAATCAGTAAATATCTGTTGTTATTAATATTTACGTTACTTATTTGATTATCTATAGGCATTTGATTTATAGTCCCTGGGCTGGCCAATAATGGAAGCCACTGAAGAACTTCACGCATGAGAATGATATGAGATTTGCATTTTGATATATTCACTGTTGATATAAGGTTAAGATGGTGGAAGAGTATGGCAACCCTAAGCTTGCTTCTTCCCTCAAAAACAGCTAGATAAATATCAGTCTATCCAAATGTCATTCAGAACACCCAAGAAGTCAATCTGAGGACTGAAAGAACAAAGCTACATGTATACAAGCAGAAAAGGTGACCAACTCAAGGAAGGCGGGAGCTGCAGAGTTGATCTTGGGGAGAAAAGAGCCATGGGAGCTGTGGAGGGGTAGAAGCTCTGATTGCAGAGAGAGGAGCAAGAGAGAGAGAATGAGAGAGAGAGAAAGATTAAAAAAGAGAAGGAGAAGGGGCAAAATGGCTGAGAAGTAGGAGATCCTGGTTCTACCAGTCCCCTGAATTGAGCTAAATATCTATCAGAACACTCTGAACACCCATGAAATCAGCCTGGCATGTAAGATTATACACTTCTAGATCTCTCTACAGGAGCAGAAGACACCAGTGGAGAGGTACAGTGGAGTGGGAGCACTTGGGACTGGTATCAGAGATAAACAGAAGGGGGAGAAAGCCACCAGAAGCAGCCCATTGGAAATTACCCCAATAAGAAAATGCCCTGTGCCTGGAGACCAGCATTAACTTGGAGTCAGGTTAAAAGCACTCAAAAAGAACAAAGGGTCTTAAGGCGCAATTGGTGGAATCAGGTGGGCACAGGCACAGAACTAAGCCCACAGTCCCAGGGCGGTCACAGCCGGCGCCCACCCATGTCTGAGAGATCCTGGTGGGGGCCCCAGTTGGTGGTCCTTGAGGCCATGGCTTTCTGCTGCTTCCACCACCACTGGGGCTATGCACATCCCTGCCCGTGCCTAAGAGAGCCTGACGCAGGCTTCTGCCGGAGGTTCCTGGACCCTCAGCCTTCTGTGACCTGCGCTATCAGGTCTGAGTGCACCTGACAAGGGCATGGACTCCAGACAGCGGTCCGGGCAATGGCAGCCACTGGCATCAGGCTTGTCCAGACCAATACCATGGCAGTTTTAATGGCACGGGGGTACAGTGACAAACGGGGGCCTCGGGTGACCACTGAGATGGTGGCTGGGAGTGTGCACCACCTGTGGGAGATTGCGGTATTCAACGGAGTTCCCAGAAGGGCAGTCTGTGTGTTCTGGACCATCCAGAGGGGAGCAGACTGAGGCTTCTCTCTGAGGCATTGGTCTGGATGCCGACAGTTTACTTTGCGCTAACCCTCCAAAAAGCCGCAAAAAGCCGCCAAAGAACAAAAACCTCCAGAGAACAAAAGCCTGAAAAACCAGTTTCCACAGAGCCCAGCCCCTTGAAAGAGGGCAGAGTGACTCACCCCAAGCAAAACTGACTAAAAAACAATGCGGCGGGCCCCTCCTCCAGAAGACAAGCCAAAAGAACAAGAGGACAATAACCACAGGGTCCCCATAAAACTGTAAAACCCCAACATCAGGGGAAAACAATATATTAAGCTCCCAGTATTGTCCCCAAACCTGTATATTTCATAGATACAACTTTTTGTTTTAATTTGTTCTCATGATTCTTCTTTTTTAAATCTACTTACCATTACA